CCACATTCGGCCCCCAATGCTATCAATACGGCGTGTTAACACTAAGCCAGCCTCACTTGCCTCACAGTTAATTGTACAATGAATGCACTGGCAGTCAGCGCCCTAAAAGTCATTTACCCGGCCGTCCTAGCGAGTTTTTTAAGCCCTAAATCACCCAATGGAAAGTTAATCGTCAATTTGTTATGACAAGCACCGGACAGATGCAATCTAGTCAATTCGGTCCTATTCTCTCCCAGCACAACTGAGCACTGGATCCGTTGGGAATGCTGACCAACCGTTTCATTGCGCCCTTTCATTCTTCCATTAAACAACTAAAGTTAGTGCAAGGTCTTGTGTTGTCTTGGGGCTGTTTTGTCAGTTTATGACACCGACTATTTGAATCATTTGCACTAGGCTGACCACGAATGTTCGATGCAGTTTGCTGCTCCCTACATTTTCCACCTTTATCAGGGAACCAACTAAAGGTCTTCCCCTATCACCGGTTGCATCAGTCGGAGTCCTTCCGTTCGATGACTTTCATCTTTAGCCTGCCTGGCCGATAGCGTTTTTCCCGGAAGAAAAGGGCGTAGAGACTTCTCCGATTCTTGTGACCTCACGTTGAACTCTCTGTCGCTATTGTGGATAATCTGGTTAAGGAATGGTGGCACTCTTGGAAGGCCATATTGTCTTGGTTTGTATGCAGCATTTAACTCTCAAACTGTGGCGTAGACACTTGCGCAAGTAATGATGTCGTTGGTCGTCTTACACAATACGGCAAGCGAACCGCGTACTCCGTGTCTTAGTTCGCAGCTAAATTATCCACAGAAACTGTTGTCATCTTTGGCTACCTCTGCTGACGAATTTTTCTTTTGATATTCAAACGTGTCAAACAAGTACCGACTTTCTAACCTTATAGGCAACCGCAAACATCCTTGGAGGCCTTCGAAACCAGATGCGCCCAGAGGCTAAGTTAGAGGACGAGGAGAAGTGGAAAGACACTCACGGACTTTGAGTTCCGTCAAAATGACAAAAAACACCCCGACATACCTTCCCTGTTGCCTGACGGCTTTCCCCATTCCCTTAAGAAAACCGATGATGCATGCTGTACTGTCACGCCCGCAATTCTTTCGTTCATGAGTACGATGCTTTCAGCGTAAACAGCACTCAGCCTGACGCTGTGGTGCGCATGTCCCCTCCCCCCCGTCCCGCCCCTTGTCCACCTTCACTGCCACCTCCATTTTGGGCCGCAACGACGTCATTTTTCTACTTTTCATATCCTTACTGCTATTTTTATGCGGATTACTTTTCTCTTGTTTTTCTTTGATCATATTATCAGATACCAATGCCATATTGTGAATATATTCTCATGCACCCCCTGTTACTGTGCTTACAAGACAAACAAGGGGGGGAAGTTTCAGGTTAGCGTCGGTTGCGGGATCAGCAGGCAACAGAGGGAATGTCTGGCGAGCAAGCTTGCTGAGGTCAATGTTTGTAACTTTGGCTTACCGTTGGCATACTAGTGGCGAAAAAGAATGAACCGGATGACGCACAAGGCACCGTCACCCCTTTCGGCTGGTGGTGGTCCACATGTGGTTCTGTGGAACAGCTCTCGTAATCCAAACTGGCATCGTCGGTCGGCCCTCGGTTTATTTCTTACCTCTTTGAGACTTTCGGAGACCAGCTCAGCACTAACAGCGCAAACTGCGTTTTGAAGTTGCCCGTACGTACGTAAATGAACCCCAACCATAGACTACCCTCCAGGCGAGTATTTATTTTCTTTGAGTACCTACTTTCAGCACAACTGAGCCGCCTGGATGCCGTTTCCAACTTTTATCCTTTTAGCCCTCGATTCGACACCGTGGATACACCTGAAGTTCGCGAAGGTACACATAACTGATTCGCTTAGAAACCGCATTATTTCACAACCAAAACAAGCTCGGCACCCCTGCTAACGGCCTCCAGAACTCATGTATCTTCCCCAATGGCATATACTTATTCGGTTATAACATGCCATCTTCTGAGCTCACTGGAGCTAGCTCGGAATAATAGGACATCTCAGGAGCCCTTTCTAACTAAAACGCATTTCCCGCCGGGGTATTTAGTGTCCGACTCTCAAGCTGTATGATTTCCCCTAATTAAAGTGCCACCAACCGCCCCATCACCTCTGGGCCACCTTGCGCTTAACCAGCGAACGGGATCCGTGTGTCGCAGGTGTCCCGCACACACCCATCCAGATACGCACGGTCACCCACCGTTTCCGTTGTCCAATGACGTCTTCGCGTCTGCTAGGGTGGCCGCGGGCCTGCCTACGCTGTCGGACTCGGAAGCCAACTCCCGTGCCGAATACACTGCAGTAGTACATACTCGTTTAATGGGCTCTTCCGACTCATCCTATAGGTTCGTGCGCAGAACCACCAGGCTAGGCTTCATTAGTCGTCCGCATAGAATGTGTTGACGCAATTTTTTCCAGTGCTCGAGTGAACTATTTCGCATCTCATCAAAAGCCCCGGTAGTGTACCACCTTGATCCCGACAGTACGAAACTTCGGCCGAGCGTCATCAGACACTTCTGGCCTCCGAGTTCAATCTGGGATCTGCCTCATGTACAAGCGTTCGCTAGTGCGTTGTTTCTAACTGGAGGACCGACACTACCTTGAGTGCACTAGCTCGACGGCGACAAGAGAGACTATAATTGGCCCACTGTCGCCAGCGGGGGAGTGACTGAGGTTTGGACCCGGCTCGTGCTGGCTCCCCCCCCCCTGTTATTTGTCGTGGCGGATCGAGAATCGTCACTGTGCAAAGTGAATATGGCTGGATGCCAGGCCCAAATCGGTCAGGGTCTGCAACTTCAGCATAACAGTCCTGGGTCAGACTTTTCTGGCACTGCCATCCACTTGCGGTGCCGACAACGGATACAACCCCACAGAGGACTACACCGCCGGATCGAAGTCGTAGACATGCCGAAGAAACGCCCCAAGTTCCATCTTTAGAATTGTTCACTTTGTTTCGGTCCTACAGGCCTGTGCACCCTTTGCGGATTTCGACGGCTTCGAAAACCTCCAGTCAAGGGTGGAACTGACTGGTGCAAACACTAAACCTACCCTTCAATAGTAGTGAAAATGCGATTCGCGGGTGGCATATCAAAGGAAGAGGATGCGTTCACCGAGAGAGGTGTATTTGAGGTCTGACGTTTCGGGTAGTCGTTTCTTCTACCCATCTTCAGAGACTGAGCAGTCGTGCACACAGCTTTCCTTTTATGGCGCACTTTGTCCAATGCCTGGCCCGCCAATGCCGCCTGTGTGGCTGCATCCGACCCGCATGTCACCGTGACCTGAATCCCGCCCATCTTCGTCGGTTTTCTGTAGACTGACGTCGCCAGTTTATCGTTGATGATACCTTCGTAAGCATCGATCAGGATAAAATTAGCTACTATGAAGAACTATTGAACTCAATCATCCCCGACCTACAGTTCACGATGGAAGAAGAAGTGGAGAGCAAACTTTCATTTTTGGATGTTCTCATCTGCCGCCAACCAGACGGTAAACTGGCGACGTCAGTCTACAGAAAACCGACGAACACGTTGCAAATGCTCAGTTACAACAGCAACTACCCACTGCAACACAAACGAAGCTGTGTACGCACGCTATACCGACGGGTGGAAACTCATTGCAGCACTCCAGTCGCCAAACTGGACAAGATGAAGCTCCTCCAAGAACTCTTCAGAGCCAACGGCTATCCACGCACATTCGTTGAACGGAGCCGAAAGAACCCAATGAAGCGGAATGAAGAACCTATTCAGCCAAAATCGTGGCGGAGCATTCCATACATGAAAGGGGTCTCCGAAGCCGTAGCCAGATCCCTCGCGCCGCTCGGAATAGGCGTTGCCCACAGGCCCGACTCAACAATCCGCCGGCAAGTGATGCGGCCAAAAGACCCAATCCCTAAACAGGAGATGTCGGCTGTTGTCTACCGACTTCAGTGCAGCTGCAGAGTGTGTAACTACGTTGGGGAAACCGGCCGACGGCTGCAAACGCGCATGCACGAGCATAAGTTGGCCGTGCGAAGGTTGGACCCAAATTCGGAGGTAGCAACCCATGCCGCTCAAATGCGACACGTCTTCAACTTTTGCGCAGTTGAACTTGTGGGCCGAGGTGATGATCATACGTCAAGGCAGGTGCAAGAAGCCTGGATGTCTACCGACTGTTCTGTCAACCGCCACATCAATTTACCTCCCCTTTATCTGGTTTTACGGACATTCTTGACGGGGGACAGTCACGGCGCGGGACAATCGGCGCCACCAATTATCACCGCGGCCGACGAAGATGGGCGGGATTCAGGTCACGGTGACATGCGGGTCGGATGCAGCCACACAGGCGGCATTGGCGGGCCAGGCATTGGACAAAGTGCGCCATAAAAGGAAAGCTGTGTGCACGACTGCTCAGTCTCTGAAGATGGGTAGAAGAAACGACTACCCGAAACGTCAGACCTCAAATACACCTCTCCCGGTGAATGCCTCCTCTTCTTTTGAAACCTACCCTTTTTTTCGCGCCTTCCCTCCATACCAACATATTTATCAAGGCTAAACTTGAACCACTCCGACAATCGTCAAGTGCGGACGTAGAGGCATTAAGGCAGCCTGAGCTGCCACTCACTGATGCGTCCATCAGAGAGCGCGAGAATGACTGGGTAGGCCGCAGTGGAGAATGTTGACGGATTATTGGCCAGGTTCATGCCAAGCTAGCGAGGAGACAGCAAGTCCTCCCTCGAATCCACATGCTAGATAAGAAAACACAAGTCCACACGCCTCATGCCAGGTTTGCTTTGTCTCAGCGCAGAAGCAGGTTACAGAAAACCCTGAAACTGATAAAATCCACCAAGAAGGAGACGAAATCAGCAAGTAATGTTGGATGGGCAAGGGTGGAACTGAGTGGGAGACAAGTTGGCACCCCCGACTTCCTTTCAGTGGGTGGTGCGAGCAATGAAAGGCTGCTGACGTGCGGGGAGGAGGCAGGCAGGGTCCAGTTACCGTGCCTTAACCTCGTCCAGCTGTTTATGCACGGCGGACTTGTACTCCTCAAGGCCACCCTTGAGCACCTTCACCCGGCTACCCTGGCCCTCCTCGGGGGGACCAAAGTGGCACCGGGAGCAGACCCAGACCTCGTTGCAGACAGAGGAGATGAGACGTTCGTCGTGGGAAACCAACACCAACCCACCGTTGAAACTTCTTATCGCCTCACCCAGGGCACCGACAGTTTCAATATCGAGGTGATTCGTAGGCTCATCCAGCACCAGGAGGTTGGGCCTACAAATAATGGAGGAATAGATCTAGTTGAGTGTACTTGGCAAATCCTAAATTTGAAGGGCGTCACACACGGACTTTGAGCGCATCGTGATAATCAAAAGCATGTCACGTTTATTACTGCATGGAAGAAACACATCGGATTCCTGTACTTGTACTTGATACGGCTGCGATCATGCCTGATCTAGCCGGCCTCGATGATGTCACGGACTGTACCTCTCCACGCGTGACGATCCGCGGCAGCAGATCTGGACAGCTCAACCCACTCTCTTCGCCACCGAAGGGGACCGAATACCGAAGGTCCAAGAACCACCTTCATGTCTTGATTAACTGTGTCGAGCCAGGTATTGAGCTGACCCCCTCTTCGACGCCTCCAATGAGGCAACGGTGCCGGATCGAGGGCAGCAACACTGAGCTCCCGGGGTGGACCACGAAGAACATGCCCAAACCACCTCAGTCGCCTTTCTTGGATGGCCTGAGTTATCCTTGCGATGTTGTCGCAGCGAGCACGGACTGTCTCATTTGAGACGAAGTCGGTGAACTTCACTCGAAGGATGGCCCTTAAGCAGTGGTGATCAAATACTTCCAGTTCTTGCCAGATCGGTCTCAATATCTCTTCACTCCCCCATCCTAGTGCAGGACAATCCAACCATCACAAGCGACGATGTCCACCGCTGCCCCATGAGGTGGGTCTGGCAGTGGCGACTTACGCGCGAGTTATTTTGTAGTGAAGCGGGCTTGAACGACATCTAGAATATCATTTCTCCCCTGCCTCACCTTGCATTGTCGGCATAATAAAGCCAAGACGACCGGAAGTGGGCTCCGCCGCAGCGGCTGGCAAAGCTAAACAGTCCGTCTGGGCGTACAAAACCCAACCTCGTCTTCACTACATGCACCAGGATGACTCTGATCTCATAGGGCGAGAATAACATAAGAGCTATGTTGAGGGGCCACTGAAGCCTGATCCCCAGTACCTAGCAGGATCTAGTTTCTCATCAGTTGGCAGCCTCCAAGCCACAACCCTTGACAAGTCGTGTTAGACTCAAGCACGTCAGACTTAGTGAGGAATGCCTTGATGTGCCGTAAAGAAGGCTGTCCTAATATCGGCCTTGCTCTTTCTCTTCCCTCTCTCCTATGCACCAATCGACTATCAGAGCCTATCAACCAATGGGGCACAAATCAGAGTCAAGCCGTCCGGAGGTGACATCACGCCCAGTGGAATACATGACGTAAAACCTCCATCTGGCACACCCCAAAGGCATTGGTGCTTCGACAAGAAAACAGTCCAACGCAATCAAACGGTATAGCTACACGAACTGAGTGTTGCAAAAAAGTGTTATTTCTGTCAAAATAATTTATGAGAACCGGGAGACTTCTACAGAGGGGGAAGACGAGACACTCAATTATGTCCAAGTTAATGCACTGTGCAATTAGGCAAACCTGAGAACAGGTTAGAAGGTTACGTTTTAGCGTACAAAGCAACACAAACCTCCAAAATAAAACAATTCCTTCTTCCAACTACAAACTCTGAAGGCGTTGCTTCCTATGAGGTAAGAGAAGCGAGGGAATCTATGCGAACGTCAAACGTCCATGCAAACAACACCCGCCACCTAGGCGGTGCTTTTCCCAGGGTAGCTTATACTGATGGCCGAAGGATGAATAACCAAAACGACAGCTTGCTGCAGTGCAATGATTAGAATGGTGTTAGCACTGAAACGTCACGCGCCCTATTGTGTCTACGCAAATAAATTAGTCTGTTTTGTTTGGCTGTCGATTAAGATGATGTCCACCGTGGGCTCTACAGCAAGGTGAGAGCAGGAACGGTGACTTACGCGTGATTTAGTTTATAGGGATAGTAGGCTTGCAAAACATCTGTCGCACTCTCTTTTCCTCCCCCACCTGAGTCCAGTGTCAAAATATGGTCAAGAAGACCGGGATGGGAGAAGGCGCAGGTGGCTGGCGCGATCGGAGCTGCCCCTAGGCGTGCCGCCACACCCGGCTCGGATCCCACTAGGAGGTAGTGCCATAGAGGCAGCTTAATTCTCAGTCCACTAGTTAGGCACTCCACAAAAGCACACTTTGGGCTGACTGAGAGATCCAAGCTATTCCATCAGTTGGGAACCTTCCAAACTAGAGCTTTTAGCGCACTGTGATAGCTTCGAGCGCGTTAGATTGTTCATAGTGAGGAAGATGCGCTGAGTCGTCGACCTCGCTCTCCCCTCTCATTCCCAAGTCCCGGCCACTGTCCGAACCGGTGAGGTGTCCGGCGTGGGGAATTAACGCAATGCCTCACGGAGCTTGAGAGCTCGTCTGCAGCGCCACATGCACGACTCGGCCCCCCAAACGCACACAGGAAAGCTGAAGGCAACAAAAGGCAACTGTGAGTGGCGGCATTTGGAGGAAATAGGTGGCCGAAACTACCGTAGCATGCTGATTGCAGCAAAGGCGACACGCGATTTTTGGCCGCCTGACAAGCTGCCGATTGGTTGTTGAGCAAGAAGGGCACCGATCTCGAAGGAGGCCAGCTGACTTCGGTAACGCTGTTCCGTTTCACCTAAAAGTGTCATTTATGCGAATATAACAGTGCAGCCCAGGATAAAAATAAAGTAAGTTCGGAAAAAAACGAGTCCTGGATACGATAGATAGAAGTTCTGCGGCAACAAACGTTAGGATAAAGTCGGAATTATATGTCCGATGAACGGTATAAATTTTAGCACAATAATGACGAAATGGCAATTAGAAAATAAGGCCTAAATGTTGCTCCCGACTTATGCAGTACAAAGATCTGTGGCGTCCACTGACAAATTACACGTATGCTCGCTTGTGACTGCCGCTGTCGTTAGCCGGCGACCAGTAATATATGCAAGATAGAGTACCGACAAAGACAAGGGAGACTGGGATGGCCATTTCTGGCTTGTTATCAGTTGTCAACCAGTCATACCCAGCCCTAGGTTTGGATGACGTGAAATTCCAACCAGGGTTCTTTGGTCATTGGGGGTTTTCAGGGCTGAGTCCGGGACTCATTGTCCCATCGGTTGAGAATGGGGACTCCAGGTCATCCAGACCCCAGGGCGAGTACGGCTGGCTGACGACGATCAAAAAGCCAGAAACGGCCACCCCAGTCTCGTCTTTGTGGCTACTCTATCCTGCATGCATCATTGGTCTTTATGCCACTGTCTCCGAGGGCTCCAGATTGAACCGCAATACGCAACGGTACGAACACGTCTCGCAGCCCGACCGGTGAATACACTTTCACCATAACACATGGAATGATTTCGGATCTCGACAGACTTTCTGTAAGCATAGCTGCGAGCTAGAAAAGACATATCGCCCTGCTTGCAGTGGAATCTGTTGTGAACCAATCAGGTAAGGAACTAGTGAATATGCTGTCAGACCAGTCAGAAATGAGTAACTGTTAATCTCCGTCGAAATGACAACCTCTTAAAACCTAAAAACGCTCAAATTAACGAAATACTGAATGGTAACTATCAGCAAGAAATGTCTCACTTGCGTGAGACTACATGTCCCGAGACGGGAATCCAAACTGGCATCAACTAACCATACACCTCCATGCATCTTATGGGAGAACCGCTCATGTCCCCAAATGCTGATTCAGTTGTAACTAGCCCTCCAATAACAACTTTTGTCACTACCAATTCGTTTAGAGAACAGCAAGAAAACCCGACTACATAGGCTTGGCTACAAAAAGAAGGTGGAATTCAACTAACCAGGAAACTTTTTCATGAGAAATTCGAGGCTTGAAACCTTCAAGTCGAGCTGGTCTACGTGGTGCTGAGAGAAATAGCCTATCCGGAGCGATCGGTGAGCCTTTCGGAGGCCCTTGGTTGGATTCAAATCACCAAGGATTATTTTCAGAAGGGTAGACTTTCCCGCACCGTTTTCACCCACCTGGAACAAAAAACAAAGACACGTACATACCCCCCGTATGAGAGCAAATGTTAACGCAATTTGACTCTGGGGCTAGGCAGTCAGATGACTCGCGCGACTTACCACACAAATGCGTGAGCTGTGTACGACGGTCAAATCGATCTTTTCGAGAATTGGTTTCTCTGGAACGTAGTGAAAGTATACCTCGTCGAGTTGGACCAACGGTTGGAGAACTTTGTCACACTCGGGTAGACGAAAAACTACCTTGGCCACCTTCTCAGGTTCTACCAGTTTTGGCAGACGCTCTAAATGTTTGATCCGACTTTGCACCAGAGAGGCACGTTTAGCGTTGTAACGGAATGTGTCGATGAATTGCTATAAGGCACAAAGCAGGGGAAAAATCCACTCAAGGAGCAAACGTGGTAATCATATTTGTCTTCTTGAATAGGTACTTTAGATGCCAGTCAAAATAGTCACCACAGGGAGGTAGCCATCATGTATGCCTAAAAATTCGATTCCTTAAGGGGCGATTCTAAGATGGCCCGTAATAAAGGTATTGGAAGGAAAACATGTACATCGAGACAATCACTGAGAACAAAAGGTGACTGTGCGAGGGAAAAGCAATGATTTACTATATCTTCAGGCTGGTAAGTCGGCGCCCAAGTTCGCATGATCATTAATTTCTCGAAGTGACTGAGAGAAATTCGGTATACGGAAAAGATCTGTTTGATTGATTCGTGTGCGCCAAATTCGCGCCCACAGTACGTGACCTATCTCATGAAACCTGATAACGGAAACTGATGCGAGAATTTCTTGACATCTTTAACGTTGCGCATTTTGCTTGCCTATCCACTTCCTTTAATGAAATGTCCTTTTCTTGTGGAGAAATCGCGTTTACGTAATTATATCAAAGAAAATATTAATAAAATTTGGCGGAAAATGGACGTTGCAATATATTCGTGCAATTTCCTAAGCTAATACATGTTCTAGACTCCGGCTGCGCATCTGAGCGTGTTTTTCATTGAAAGGAAAGTAATTTACTCGAAGAAGTTTTAATAAACAGATTTTGTCGGACTTGAAAATTTATTTTATGTCCGATGCTAACTGTGGTACTCAACTTGCTGACACAGAGGTTATTTTAAGAAAACCAGGTGTTTTATCGATTCTTAAAAGTCGTATTAGCAGATCTGTGCGATTTGGTGCCCTAAAGTGCACTAATGACGCAGACAGGGATTCCTTCGTTTAAATGGGATTAAATTGTTTGGCCGTTTGGAAAATCTTGTGTGATGTCACATAAACGACCACCACCGGATGGTCATTTCCAGTTCCAGACATATGAAACATTACTTGTCGTGTAGTCTAGCTTCTACACAGCTAATTCAGAAATGGAACGAGCAAAACAGTAATAGTTTCAGCAAAATATCAGTATTTATAGGGGCACTTTGCCATGCATTTATAATCGAAAAACGGAGTCTAAAAGCGAGCAAAAACAGTGGAAATGGCCTCAATATAAAGAGGAAGGCATGTTCTTACGTTCACGGTAGAAAAATATTCGTAGTATTCTGGAACGCGAACGGCCAAAAGTGTCAAATGTTTACTTGGCCTCACCGTGCAAAAATGCAAAGTACACAGAGATCCGTCAACGGAGTGCAGTATTAAAGCACTTCTCAAAGAGGTAACTTATAAGAGAGAGTTTTTAATTGGTCGAAGACATATTCGTTGCTGTCTTTCGTTATGGATAGCCATTTTTCTCGAAAATGAAGTTTGATATTTGAATGAGTCTTCAAATGTGACCCAAACGACCATCTTCGTAAAAAGGAGCGCCCAAAAACTCACCAATTCGGTATATGCTTTCAAGAGTAATCTTATTTTAAAGTTCTCAACAGACTGGTAATTCAGAACCTGTCTTTATGGACGATCGGGTGAAAACACTGAAAATCATGAAGTATTCAGCAACATTTCGAGGCCGTTCTGAAACTCAACGTAATCCAAACGAAAGAAAAGTGTAAATTAATTTAACGGAGAAAAATTTCTCTCTACGAGCACAAAATGGTTTGTTTACGATCACGCCTGTCAGTTCTCTTTAAATTTATTAGGCACCGATCGGCCTGGCGGCATGCGGCCTCATGAAAACTGTTGTTCCTACGACGTCCCCATTGGTGAAATCAAGCAAAATGCTTTTTCCCTTGTTCAACCGCATCTCATTTGACTCAAAACAGTCAAGAATACCACGAATCCCTGGAAAACTGGAGTAGAATCTATACTCAGAATGTGGGCTGTTGACAAACCGCCATATATGAAATTACACTAATTCTTAAAGGATGTTTAGATGTAAACTTTACTGAAACACTATTTTCAAACGTCATTTTATTTGTACTTTCATATTTACCACGTTTTTTGCATAAGAAGACAGTCTACACATCTAAAAACGATGTTTACTAAACCATTTTCGATGTTTTTGGGATATTGCGCTTATGCAAAAAAATCGGCATTTCGAAGCAACGCAACACCGCCTTTAATATTTCTTTTAAGTTTTTAATTCTTTCATTGCTGTGCTTAATAAACATAGATATTGGATCCATGAATTGGCGTGGGTTTGTGGCTGATTAGCAATCATTCATAAATTTAGACACATTTCATGAGTTTGGTCACAAACTGTATATGCTTTGTTTTAAGAGCTGTACAAAGACATAGAAAACCTGTAATAATGTGCCTGGGATCGCTTCGGATTTCGGGACTCGGAATTTTGTATCAAAAACCCCATTACTCACCTTCGGGAATTATGCAGTAACCTCCACATTCCAAACCCCAAATTCACAAAATGCATGTAGTGGCAGTAAAACAAACGTCAAAATGGAGAAATCAAAGCTGGTGGTGCAAGAGCTGATACCACTGCCACTACATCATGTACAGACTACTAGCCAAAAGATGAAGCAGTAAAAGGTATGTTCTTCATGGAGTAAATTTAGTGGATAAGTAGGGGTGACAGCTAACTTCGCAGAGTATACTAACCTGGATGTGTTCGCGCTCGGCTTTCTGTGCTTGATACTCCCTCTCTTCATTTAGCAGACGTTCCTCACGAGCCTTCACAAAGATGTCATAATTACCGCGATAAGCATCTAGTCGTTTTGACGTCAGATGAATGATGTCCGTGGCTACGCAATTGAGGAAGGCCTGGTCGTGGGATACGATTATCATAATGCCAGGCCACGACTGAAAAGGCAACACATTTTATACACTTAAATTACAGTTACTTACGATACATAGTAGTAAATAAAAATTGTTAAACATTCGTTCCCACCTGGACGTAACCTTCTAGCCAGATAAGGGCCCTCATGTCCAACATGTTTGTAGGTTCGTCCAGAAGGAGGAGGTCCGGTCTCGCAAACAGTGCCCGCGCCAACGCGAGACGCATCCTCCAACCACCAGAAAACTCCTTGGTGGGCCGTTTCTGGAAGGCAAAAGACCGCGCAGGGTTAGATCTACTGACAATTTACAGTCAAAATGGCCTGATCACCCAGTCGGAGTGGAACAACGCTGTACCTGCATCTCAGGATCGAAGCCCAGACCATAGAGAATGGCTGCAGCGCGTGCTGGTGCACTGTCGGCATCGATCTCTACGAGTCGGTGGAAGATTTCACCAAGGCGTCCGCCACTGTCCGCCTCTGTTCCTTTCACGGACTTGAGATTTGCCAGTTCGGCTAGCAGAGTCGCCCTCTCGGTGTCCGCCTCGAGGACGCTTTCGATGGCTGGCGTCATGTCGCCGATGACTTCCTGCTCCACATGGAGTACACTAACGCCCTGTGGCAATCGCAAGTCACCGCTATTGGAAGAGAATGAAGCAATGCGAAGATATCAGCAGGGGGAAAAAGTGAACTTCAGGGAAGCGAGGGAGATTTTAGCCCTTACACTTCTTACCTGCCGGTCGATTAACAAACACAACTTCCGGCTCGACGATAACCTAACTGCTACAAACTCTCTAGTCTCCGTATTGGCTTTGACAATATTTCAGGCGACTAGGACCTCCTCACTTAAAGAACTAGTCTCAGTCGGCAATCACAGCAAGACCAAACTTAAATTTTCCGTTAAGAACCATGAAGTTTGCAAGACAAAATCGGAGAAGAAAGCACGTACCAGGCCAGAGCGCGTAGCAGAGTTGTCTTGCCGTAACCATTGCGCCCAATAAGGCCATAGCGTCTACCAAGAGCTAGATGCATGCTCGCACCCTGTAGCAGTACCCTACGAAGCGGAAATCAGACTGTAAAGTTAACCAAGGTTGAAAAAATCGTTCTCAAACATAGAACCAAGTGGATGCACGTACCTGCTGCCGAAAGAAATATCAAAATTTTCGACATGTATGTCTGTGACCTTTCTAAGAGACCCATCGGCCGAGGTGACAGCCTTGTCCCTCCGATCCGGCTGCTGGTTTACACAGGCAGTATCAGTCTCCAAGGGGACAGTCCTTTAGGGGGGTGGAGGTAACTATGACGGGCACTGTAGATAAACGAACGTACTTGGAGAAATCGCTGCTACTGGACTTTTTGGATATCTTTTCTTTGAGTTTGGCCTCGGCTTTCGCCAACTTCTTCTTGTCAACGGTCTACATACAGGAAGGAATGAGAATGGCGTCAGGTCGGTCAGCGGTTAAGAATTACGCACAAAATGACTGCAGGTTTCAATTTCAAACAGCAAAACAAAGACACAGTTTGTCCGTTAAACACGACTACGAGCAGCATTATCACCGACGAGTAGTGGATGAGTGGGAGCGTGGTGAGGGAGATTTGGGCAGCATTAAGCTTCCTCTCGCTTACCACACATTGTAGGTTCCAGTGCACGATCAAGAGTACCAGAGATGACCTTTGGGTGTGGTGGCCTATAGGGACATGACTAGGCCCTCTACCGTAGCTTAACCAGAATCACAACAATATCCGGAGTTGCGGCGACAAGCCTACTACTCTCATCTGCTCTCGTTCGTCAATTAGATCCGTTATCGCCGCGTAATGGCTGCGCGGAGCCAGTCGTCGTGGGACCATAGATAAGAGATCGGAGTCGGTTTGAGTCACAGTGAAGCGACCAGCTTGTGTGATGAGGCATGCGATGCAAACATCCAGTGAAAGTACTGCCCACCATCCCTGGGCATGCCATATGCTGCGCAGGTGCAGACAGACAGTTTGTCGATCGTGCTTCACGAGGACAACCAGTACCCGAAGGGGCAGAAATGTAGCGACCAGAGTGGGAGGCGGCAGTGGCTGTTGGCAAGGCCAGGATGTGTGTTGATGGTGTTAAGTCATGTCTGAGAGCTAGTGATTTGATGTGCGTTGAAGATCGGTGGAGACGACTTGTGCATTACCCGAGGGATGGTATGTCTAGTGGTCCAAGTTGAATTTATCTGGCCCTTAATTGACAACCAACCGTTATCTGTGGTTCCCTGGAGTTAGGCTCTGCTTGGCAGCCACACCCCGGCAACCGCCTCAACCAGCGGACTAAGGCAGATGAGGGCATCCGGTGTTGTACCCCCGTATCCCTGCTGTTGTTATTGTTGGTTACAATCCTGGACCAGGGGCTGTTGTGTGGAGTGCCAAGGTACGGACTCGATCGCGCTATCCACATGCGCCTTCCCACGCCTCCGGTCTTCTTGACTCTGTCTTGACACTGGCCTCCGGTGGGGGAGGAAGAGGGGCTGCGGAAGATGCAGCGCAAGTCTACACTCACTACATAATAATTCACGCGCAACTCACCGTGCCTGCCGGACCTCCCTGTGAAGCACACGGTGGACATCGCCGGAGGCGACGGCCAAACTGTCACCCGGTAATTTTGCTTCCATTTCCATCGATTCCCTCTCTCCCTTCCCTTTTCTCATATTTCTATCTCAAAAAGTTCTATGGGGACGACGACATGCAATCCCAGCCTAAATTGAGTGGCTCTCCATCTAAACCAAACCGTGACACTAAGTGGATTTCGGTGGCCGTCTGGGATGTCTAAGAAGTCCTATTCAGATACAGTACTGCGTACCCCCCCTCGCAATGGGAGGAGTAAGAGACGGTACCCTAGACAAATGCTCAGATCACGTCAGCTGCACGCAAACTGTGCCTCGCTGATTTACAATTCACAGTCAAGAAAACCAAATAGACAACAACCAGCATCCCCATCTTCCCGAACAACAACACAGGCTGCCTGAATGACGTTGGTCGCTGTGGCAGCCTGGAATGTCCGATATCTTTAAGACAATCCGCGGAAAGGACCGGAAAGGACGGCTCTAGTTGCCTGAGAACTGGAGCGCCACAAGGTAGACGTCGCTGTTCTCATTGAGACCTGCTTCTCTGAACGAGGTCAAATGGACAAAGTGGGTGCCGGCTACACCTGGAGCGGCCACACATATACACAGCGATGCGACGCCCTTGTCGTCCTTTTTATTCAGAATTACATCTTAAGGCAACTTAACTGTCTGCTGCAGGGCATAAACGACCGCTTCACAACCCTGCGCCTCTTCGGGAGGCTAAATTTGCCACCATTATCAGCGCCTATGCCCTCTCCTCCCTAATGACCAACCCCGACGAGACGATAAACAAATTCTACGGAGATCTGCACAATCTGCAGTGGACTGCCGAAGAAAGACAACCTGGTTGTCACGGGCGACTTCAATTCCCGCGTCGGGACAGACCATATTATCCGGGAGAGAGTGCTTGGTCCCCGACGCCTCAACGGCTGTAACAATAACGGCCTCCTCCTCCTGATCAACAACCTGGATGAACCCATGGTCACGAGACTGGCACACCCGCTGGACTACGTTCTCGTCAGGAGGCACAATCGGCAGGACGTGCTGATGTGACAAAAGTAATCGGCTTCCCTGATGGGTGGACAGATCACCGCCTCGTCATCTTAAAGATGAGGCTCAGACCACAATTTTGGCGATCATCAAGTAGGCCAACTATTGCTTTATTTAATTTTTTTACTGACCGCCTCGATTACAACGACCAATCGACTCAGCGAATGGAAGACCTGCAGGCTCCAGGCAACAATGTCACTGTGAAAACACTCTGGCGCTAACTGTGGGTCGTAACCCAGTCCGCCGCCCTAGACGTCCTCGGTGGCGCACGTCAACGCTAGGACTGGTTTGGCGACAGCGCAGATATCTGCAACCTACTCGCTGAAGCCAACAGACTGCTGAAAGCCTAAATAGACCGCCGGACGGATGCAAACGAGGCAGCCTTCTTCCGATATCGCTGCCTAGTGAAGCAACGGCTGCGGACAATCCAACGGTACGCAAACCACAATAGACGGAGAGCTCCATTGCACTAATCAAGACGGCTTATGGCCCCAAAGGCAGGAGAACCGCTCCGCTTCTCAGCTTCAACGGAACAGCGCTCCCCATGGATAAATCGCAAAGTCTGAAGCGCTGAGTTGCGCAGTTCAGAAGCGTCTGCAATCCGCCGTCCGCAATCTCTGACACGGTTATCAACCGGCTCTCAAATGGAAACGAACAATGACCCTCCCACCATCCCTTCCAGAAACCATCAGAGGCGCGCAAAGTCTTCAGGAGGAAAGCACCGGGATTCAACGAGTTTCAGGTCGAAGTCTACAAGCCTGGCGGCTCCCAGCTGATCGACGCACTTCCGATGGTATTCCAGAAGAAGTGGCGTCAAAGACAAGTTCCTCGGGATCTCAAGGACGCGACTATCATCCATCTCTACATGCAGGAAGGAAACCGGGAACTCTGCGATAGTCGCAGAAGAATTTTGCCGTTCAACACTGCTGGAAAGACCTTTGCTCGCGTCTCTTCCAACCGTCTCCACGAGCATCTGCAACGTGGAATTCTTCCGGAATATCAGTGTGACCTCTGACTAGACGACGGAACCACTGGCATGATCTTTTTCGCTCGGCAACTGCAAGAAGTGTCACGAAATGAACACTAACTTCTAAGCTGCCTGACGAAGGCCGTCAACACGGTGAATCGTAAACTCTTGAAAACCATTCAGAAATAAGGCTGTCCTGAACGATCTACACACATTGTGTGTCAGCTCTACGAAGGGATGATGGTGCGTGTCATGGACAACAGGATAGTCAGCCTGACGGGTCACTTGCGAATACATCGTACTGTGACCGACGAACTAAAGCCCGAAGCCTGATATACACGTGGTATCCGCCTTCACTGTCCGCACTGCCTAAGCACATTCATTCACCGCATGAACCTATCTGGTCACATGCGTATGCACGGCAGTAGAATTCACCACAATATCGACACACTAAGCACACATTACACATCCGACAAGACTTCCATCTCTAGCACTGCCAAATTCCCATCTACCAGCGCGGCCACCACTAGCAGCATCACTGCAACCGAATCAGCAGCTCCCAACCAGATTGTCACCGCACATACACACCACGCATCGGCCCGGTCGGCCGCTTGTGAATCCACCGCGCAGAGACTGGCGAGCCAGTGTCTGTGACACCAACCAGCATCCGCCGTCATCGCCTCAGCTGTCTGCATTGCCTCCGCACATTAAACCATCGCGTACGCCTACTCGGTCAAATTCACCTCCATAAAGGCTTGCGGTAAATCAACGCAGACTAAATCATACACCCCATTAACACACGCACCACATATTAACACATCCAACATCACACATGAAAGGCTCCTCCGTGTGGCCCCTCCGCTTTATGTGAGATCCGGACAGTTCACCTCCCTTGCATGACATCATGGTGTTTTGTGGAGGTCAGGTGGTTGTTTGACATGCAAAGACGGACATCTTCGGAAACGACGGTCAACCCGTCATTGTCTTTATCGAGGAGTGGTGTGTTCAAGTAGGTCGCGGACGGCTGTGGCTGAATTCGTGCGTGTTGTAAGCGGTCCGACTGCGGTAGGGTCAATGCGTCTGGAACCGCTCGCGGGAAAGCTGTATAATCTTAACGCAATGGGACGGTTAATAAGGACTCCGGGCATCAGACCATTCAAATGTCACGTAAGTGGGAGACATGTCCTTCGATGAAGCCTGATGCGCAATATGGGACAAGGTCATGCGTGGTACGTCCGGACGGATTGTTTGGCTTTGTCAGCCATCGTGGCCACTGTCATCACCAGCTGCTTGATAGGCTTGGACAGTCGGCTGAGAGGGAAGTGGGTGGGAGGCGCATTAGCGCAACAAAACCCGGCTCGCTTGAATCTACCAGGACGTGCTGCCAGTCGTGGCTTGGACGGCTGCCGACTGACTGAAAACTCGGTCCATCCCAGAACAGACTTCAATGACTCCTTAATTTGGTCTTGGTGACACTCTCACTATGCCAGATTCCAGATACCTCAGTATAGGCGGTCTGGAATATATAGAGGGTAGAGAGGGCCATATGTTACGCACGCAGACGGGCTATTTGGTTTTATCAGTCACTGCGACGGCGCTCGCCTTTGGTCTTGTCGGCTTTATGTTGTTATCAGGGAAGTTGAGTGCTGATTCTACTCCACGAACAGCCAAACTTCCTGTCTGTTGTTGAAGACGAACCATTTTGGGATTTTTGTTGGAACGCACTTCTAAGCTTGGAGTTGGTGGTCTTCGGAACTTTGCAATAACAAAATGATCCAAAGCCGACTTAATCGACTATGTGCCGAAACTCGAACTTGCGTTATAGCTTGCAAATTTAAGCATTCTCCGAAAGTGACAACGATGCATGAATAAATAAACTAAAAATCTGACCTCTCACCGATGCATTTTCGCGTTTAGCCATCCAAATACTCGATGTATTTATCACTCGGTCGTTGAAGTTGTTGACAAGACTTGCCATGTGGACCGGTTCATCAAGTGCCGTCGGAGTGTCCAGTTCCCAATTCCTATTTGCAAAACGATATCAAGTAAGCATGGCAGACTCCGATCATTCTTGATTAAGTGTCAACCTCCCGTACAACTGATACCCTTGATCCACAAATTTATTTTTAACTCTAGCCAATAGCGTAGCATTTCCTTTTTCCTCAAGTGTCCTTCGACGAATTACAGGTTTCAACTTATCGCCGGCAACACAAGATAACAGAGAGCCTCAACAAGTATGTCGACAAATAACTGTGATTCTGACTCTTCACGTCATGCATTCAATGCATTCCGAAAAATATAAAAGAACTTTAGTGGATCGCACATAAAGCTCCTCGTGTGTGTTTACTGAGTTATTTCTTCTAAAGCCACTGGCAGGCTGGTTTCAAAAAAACCAGGATATGCGAATTCCAGAGGGAGCACAAAAAGCGTAATAGTCGGTACACGTTGCTCAATGGCAGCAGTCTCGATTTTAAAGCTTTTAAAATTGTCGGCTGCCCTATGACTAAGTTAACAAAGGATTCGGTACAAAAAGCGCACGCTTTGGTTTTTTTGGTTTATCCGACCGAATTATGAGGGCATTAGGCTGCTGTTTTTCAGCCGGCCGTTTGGTCTCTGTTGGAGCGCAGACCGTCGAATCTCCATCTTTACTTTCAGTAAATAGCAAAAAGACGACAGGCGAGTGTGTCTACTGACATAGATATCAAGTTTGTTTTCAGCACGAGGCCATCCGTGAGAGTTTGCCCGTCTTTTCCGACGAGGCCTACTGTGCGCTCCGCAGCATTTCGGACTCGGAGGCGATGATTTGAGCGTGAATTAGTTTAGTGACAGATGACTTGCACAGCACCTACCACACTCTATCTTCTCCCAAGCACCTGAACCCGGTGTCAAAACAGAAGGCGGAAGTGCGCGCAGGTGGCTGGCGCGGTGTGACCCTGGGCCCAGGCGTGCCACTCTCCCATGTATGTCATCCGCTATGAAGTGCAGAGCACAATAGAGTGCCGGACCATGATCTGACCCCCCGTGTTGGTCTAGCCCATCTGCCGCGTGGCCCATTGTGGAGGACACACGAGGGCATCTAACACCTGGTTGCTTAAATGTTCAGCAACGGGGCAGATACGTCAGCACATCATTTGCTTCTGCAATAGTAGAGCATCCCGTAGATAATTTAAATAATGCTCCTATTAAGGCAATTACTGAGCCTGAACAATTTGGCCCTGGTCGTTGAGCCAAGTTTGACTGAAAATACGCGATCGGTAAACTGGAAAAAATCTTCTACGAATGAGCCCTCCCTGCTATTTTACGCAATTCCTGTCTGTACTATGTGACAAATTTGCCTGAATAGATAGTTGCTAAAAAGGACGTTTTTGCTTTACAATCAAGGTAATGCGGTTCAACACATCGAAAGCGCTCCTACATTATGATAACTACTACTTCGCTAAAGAACATAAAGGATGATTTTGTACTACTACCATTCCAAACGGTTTTGCTCCTGTGTGGCCTAGCCAGTCTTAACAATCCTGTCATGATTATCCGCTTTCATGGCAAGTAAGGGACTGAGTGGATAGGCGATAGACCTAATGCCTGTTTAAAAGATCTTAAAGAATCGGGAACATAGACGTTGACATAAGTTGTAACATCTTCCTTGCAGAGGAACTGGTGTGAGCAACATGCTTCGGATATGACAACACTATTCTCTAGCTAGTACAATACTGTCAATTGTGACATTTGCCAGCTGGAAATTTTGACGTAAAAAAGGAAAATAAAGATGATTCCTTACGGGCGAAGGATTTGAAATAGGTCCGCACAAAGTTTCCTTATTTCAGAAACATCCAAAGCCGGATTTGAACCTTCCAGAAAGCTACCGACAGCTTCAAAAACTTCCTCGGGCGATTCGAAGTGATCACCATTTGCAGTGATGATGCCTTGTAAAAACAGTCAAGGGAGTGGCAATGGACGAACCCTCAAGATAGGTGTCAACGTCTTCATCCATCGAAGGAAATATCCTTCTAACTTCATTCATCGCATCAGCGTACTTCGCCTGCATAACGGCGATGAGGACCAAACCTGGGTGGTCAAATGCGCGGGCCACTCTATTCGAAAGGGCGTTCTAGGCTGAGCGCATTAAATGTCAACTTATGAGTCTGGTAGTTCAGAAGTCGAGGGTATTCTATTCTGATTCCTTACACAAATTACGGATGCTTGAACTCCGGAACTGTACATAATTCGGTAGGGATTCTTGAAGAACTTTCTTAGAAGGTAACAAGATCTTGTTATTTATGAATCAACATATCAAAATCCTCAGAATGTGTTAATGTCCATTTTTTCGAGTTACGTACAACCCACGAAACGGAAGCTGTAATTTCCACAAAGTTCAGTAATTAGCCCTTTTGACAAATAGCTCATTAGGACGTAACAAGGTTGTCCACTGACTAAGTGTCATTCTCTCGACATCTGTATTTGCCCATACGTCATACTGCAAAGACCAATCTTCATCAAGGAACTTTTATCATAATGATTGTAAGTTCGTTACTTTACAGAACGATGACAGTATTGTTTTCGTCGAAGATGAGACCAAAGTTCTTTTGGTGTTACTGACGCCTCTGCTAACTCGAGCTGCCCTCACGTAACCGAAAAATCCAGCAACAGTGCATTATAGCATTAGCTGTTGAACGGCGCCCATTTATCATTCCACAGATATATATTTCATCAATGAAGCGGGTTTTTTAAATGCGATTAGGTGTAGCAGTTCTGGTTTTTCGGGCGTCTTAACGAAATTAACTGTTCATGAAGCAATTGTCACTGGTGTCTGCTATTGTAGCTTTATGTACGTTTTAGATTTTTCTCTCTACATCTTCTTGCTTGCCTGAACTTTTCTGTGCTGTTGTCCGAATATGCTAAATATACACACAGCTGGTTTCGAATTGCGTTAACGCCTGCTTTGTGTCCGCCTGCTGCATGGTGCCATGGCCTCGTCCATTGCGCTCATTTGCCTCAATCCTTTTTTGTCAATCACCACGGACATTATTTATCTCTCGGTCGTATCTTAACGAACGTGAACTTACCCGAGCAACAAGCTCCACTAACTGACTTTCGCTCGGGAGTATTTGCTATTGGCGGGAATACAACGTCATTACACTTAATGTCTGCCTGTCTTACGGGAATGGTGGTGGGAGGGGTTGTTCGGGTGGAGCATCTAAAACGACCAAAAATTCGTTGGACACAGTGGGGGATAGTTTTAAAAAAATTGCGTTTCCGCCAACTTTGTTTTGATGCATCAAAAACACCTCTTAAAGAACTCTGTCACTGATAAGACAGCCTACGGGAGGACAGGAAGCGACCTATCATATCATGCTCTCATCCCATTTGTCGGGTTATAACATAAACCGTATTGGCCTTCGGACTGACCAACCAGTGGGTGTAATTGCGTGAGTCGTTGGCGCTGTGGGAAGGAAGTTCTGGACTGAGTTTTCATCGCTTTCTCGCGGAAGGGCGACAACGATTAGGTATCGGATGCATGGTAGTGGTTATGGTCAAAGGACATCATCGTGACCTTCACCCCACGTTCCCGATCTGCATGGCAAGAGGCCGAGCAGCAAAAGGAAACAACAGATTAAGTAAGGCAATATCGCTTATTATAGTGTGACAGAACGACTAGGAAGGGAGTGTAGTACCTGATATGCCTTATTGCGGGGCATATCTAACACAAATTAAGTGTTAGCAGGGATGTCGTAGTGTGCTGATTTGAAAAATATGATCGTGCCCACCCTTAGACTGCTTTCCCCGCCGAGTAAATAAGTAGTCAATTAATTAAGTAGAAAACTGATTAAGGGAGGAATTGAGAGGGACACAATAAATGACGATAGAGTAGGTCGGTCTTAGGAAACTATTTACGACATGGCTGCCGTTTGTGATATTTGAATAAGAAAACTAGACATTTACACATATACGATGATGATCTTCCCCACCACGGTCCCGCATGCATACACGTATGGTTACCTAGGCAGCTCATTGGCGATCTAGACTACTTTCCTGAAAGCTTGCGATTTGATCTTTTTAAGTCTGAAATGCGTTAGTTATTAAATCCAATAATACATTACAACAAATCAGAAAGAAAGGTTAATTTAACATTTTTGGAATTTTTTTCCAGCACGTCCTCTGCCGTCCACAGCCTACGTGAATTAACGTTCCATTATCAGAAGACTTCGTTTAGTTATCTTAATGGAATTCGTTTTGTAGGTATAGAGGTGTGCGTGTAAATTAATAACTCAAAAATGCATTAACTGCAGTGGATGGCAGATGTGCTAACTCATCAGATGTTAGCCGAAATCCTAAAATTCGTTTTCGGCTCGAACGGAGTACTCAAGTGGGGTTATAGTATTCATCACTGTGCATCATAATCCTTTTGCGTGAACATCTCTCTGGTCTCCTGCAAAGACCACTCCCATTAAAAAACGACTACTTGTTTAATTTAAATTTTCTCATGGATTTTCGATGGCCGCGTAAATTCAAATGAACTGCATACAGGGCGTGCACGAAATATTTATTTTTTTATCTGGGTATATGGACGAACACAAATTTATCGCCATCGGAACACTGTAGAAAGATGACCCAGAAGGCAACTAGTACTCTACACTGGATCAGACGTGCATTTAAAAATGTTTTCACCCGAACTATTCGAAAGTCCTTTTGGTGTCTTTCTAAGACCCCATCTGGAGTATGGAATTCCAGCAGCTTCACCGTGGATCAGTCAGTCTGCGTATTAGAGGGAAATAGGCTTACGCCTTTGAACTCCCTATGTGTGCATAAAAATCGATAAATAAGCAAAAATATATAGGAATCACAGCATTAAGTGAATGCAGACATTGATTCACATATGTCACTTGTCTCATGACTAAAAAGCCACATAGTCCGTTTGTTGCTGCAGCATATATCTGTCAAGCTGACATTTAAATGTCTCCACAGATCGAGGCATGACAGCCGTCTCGGGCAGGTTATTCCACGGTTTCACGACACGGTTGGAGAAGAAATGTTTTCTCAAACTCAATCTACCCTGGGGCACACGAAGCTTGAAGGGATGTCCCGGGCGGTTATTTGTAGTGGCGAGTTGGAAGACGTCGTCTCACCGAAGGGCGCAGTCTAAGCCACGCACTATACGGAAAGTTTGTATCAAGTCTCGGCGAAACTGCCCATAACTGAGAGGACAGTGATTAAGGTTAGTTAAGCGGATCTCGTATGGCAGTGCACTTTGACCTCTTATTAATTTTGGTGCTCGCCTCTGCACCCTTTCGAGCAAATTGTAATGCTGATGCGTCCACGGTCTCCAAGCCCAAACTGCATATTCGAGATGCGGTCTTACAACGTGCCGATAACTTTGGAGAAGCAGTCTTCATCGAAAACCGCGAATGCTCGCTCGATGGCATTTAGCATTGAAATTGCGGCCTAAGCCGCCTAACAACATTGTGCGGGAGGCTTTAGGCTGTCTGCCATCCAGATTCCAAGATCTTTCCGTGTATCTGCTTCTTGGAGTGGAATTCCGTTCAGATTGTATTGCCGCGTACTAGGGGTCTGATTTCCGAGACACCGTATGGTACATTTGTTCAAATTTAAGGACAAGAGCCAACTCTGGGATCACTCGTCCAATCGACAAAGATTTTCTTGGAAGTTGGTCTCATCAGCAGCATTTTGGATGACATTTCGGATTTTCATGTCATCCGCAAACATGGCACAATCACAGTCCAACCCATCTACACAATCATTGATAAACAAGAGAAAGAGGGTTGGTCCCAGCACCGAGCCTTCTGGGAGCCCAGTCTCCATGAATGTTCGCCTTGATTGCTTTTGTTATACGCAGACAATTTGGGAACGGTCGACGAGAAAGTTCTCGATCCATTTGAGAAGTTTGCCGCCGATGCCCATTATTGTCAACTTGTACAGTAGACGCTGGTGCGGAACACTGTCGAATGCCTTCCCGAAGTCAATATAGGCCACATGCACAGTGTGCTTTGCGTCCAGTGCTCTTGTTCAACTTCGCATTGAATATAACAAGTTCGTTGCACATGATCTTCCCCTAGGGAAATCATGTTTTACATTGGACAAGAAGTTGTGGGTTTCCAAATAAACAATCCACTCCTTTTTTGGTTTTTCCATCACTTTGCAGCAGACTGATGTCAGACTGGCGGGTCTGTAGGTTGTCGCAAGAGCACGACCACCGCTTTTATAAAGGGGTGTAATGTGGGCCGTCTTGCAGTCTGTGGTTGGGATTCCAGCATAAAACGATTTCTGGCACAGAAAGGATAGTGGTTTGGCCAGCTGTCGGGCAAGCTCAAAGAGCAACTTCGCTGGGATCTCGTCCGGACCGGGAGATTTATATTCCTTCAAGCTTTTTAGTTCTTCCAAAATCGCTTCTTCTCGAAACACAGTATTTTGGATAGTGAGTTTTCCCATGTTCTCAGAACTAGATGGAATAAAGTCTGCTTCTCTTGTGAAAACGGATTGTAAAAACTGAGAAAAATGCTCAGCTTTATTTGTACTGTTTGATATCTCCAAACCGTCATCATTCCTTATGACAGGAATGGTATTCCTGTTACGTGTGCTCTTCCTTAAATAGCTGTAGAGCCATTTCGGAATGGCTGTAGAGCAATTTTGGATGAGGAAGGATATCGACTTACTCGAACAGGTGCAACTCAGAGTAACCAAGATGGTCGACGGTCTAAAGCATTTTTCTTACAAGGTGAGGCTGAATGTGCTTGGCTTATTCCCTGTCATATAGACAACTAAACTGCTGTCTACCCTGGACATTCCGGATTGTCCGCGGCCAAGGTTGCTTATTAAGAACGGAGGAATTCTTTATGTTTGCCCGTACAAACCAATTACGCTGTCACGCCTACAAAGTCAAGAATCAGCGCACGCGGTTAGACCGTAGAAAGTTTTCATGAAGCCAGCGGGTTGTCCGACCGTGGAACTCGCTTCCAAGCGAGACGGTGACGGCCGACACTACTTGCATGTTTAAAAGAAAACTTGCTCTCCTAGTTTTCACCCCTCGCT